AAAAAAAAAAAAAATGCACAAAAGGTCTGAATAGACATTTCTCAAAAGATGACATACAAATGATCAATGTTACTAATCAGAGAAGAATCAAAATTATAATGAGATATTTTCTTACCCCAGCTAAAATGGGTAAAAAAAAATGCACAAAAGGTCTGGATAGACATTTCTCAAAAGATGACATACAAATGACCAATATTACTAATCAGAGAAATACATATCAAAATTATAATGAGATATTTTCTCACCCCAGCTAAAATGGGTTTTATCCAAAAAACAGGCAATAATGAATGCTGGAGAGAATGTGGAGAAAGAGGAACCCACTGTTAGTGGGAATGTAAATTAGTGTAGCCACTATGTAGAACAATAGGGAGGTTCCTCAAAAATCTAAAAATAGAACTAGCATATGATTCAGATATTCCACTGCTGGGTGGGTGGGAGGGAAGGAAGGGAGGGAGGGAGGGAGGGAGGGAGGAAGGGTAAGGAAGGGAAAGAAAGGGAAAGGAAGGAAGGCAGGGAAAGAAAGAAAAGAAAAGGAAATTGGTACACTGAATAGATATCTGCACTCCCATATTTATTGTAGCACTATTCACAGTAGCCAAGATATGGAAGCAACCTAAGTGTCTGTCAACAGGTGAATGCATAAGGAAAATGCTGTATATGTGTACAATGGAATATTATACAGACATAAAAATTAATGAATCCATCTGCCCTTAAAAAAAAAGTGGCTGACAGCTTTCATTTCTACTCTATTGATGCTAACGTTTCACTTATTCATGAGTGGCTCTTTCTGTGATGTTAGCTGCTTTTTACACTTATGCTTTCACATAGAAGTAAACATGGTACTGTTGTGAAGTTAGCATATGATGAGAAGCCAAATGCATGCTTATAGTCATTAACCTAAGAACAGCTGAGAAGACCAGGGTCAAGGAAGCAATATTGCTTGGCAGTCTGAGTTCACCACGCAAAGCAGCAATGTACTCCCTGGTAGAACTCTATTCCTAAATTTCCACTACTAGTTCAAAAATCTTCCCAAATTCTGGTTAGTCTAAAGTTACAGTATTTACATATTTTTTAAACAGTATAATTTCTGCATTGTTTTATTGCTAATATACATTAATAAATAAACACCTTTAAAACTGAGAGGCAGGGAAGAAATTAGGAAAATGTGGACATGGCCCCTAACAAAGGATTTGGGACAAGCATGGTGGTTCACACTGTAATCCCAGCACTTTGGGAAGACAAGGCAGGAGACTCATTTGAGCCCAGGAGTTCAAGACCAGCCTGGACAGCATGGCGAAACCCCATCTCTACAAAAAATAAAAAAATTAGCTGAGCATAAAGGTAAGCACCTGTAGTCCCAGTTACCTCGAGGCAGAGGTGGGAGGATCGCTTAAGCCTGGGAGGTCGAGGCTGCAGTGAGCCATGGTTGGGCCACTGCACTCCAGCCTGGATGATAAAGCAAGACCCTGACTCAAAAAAAAAAAAATTGATATATTTTGGTTCTACATTAGTAATATAATTTCCAATTTTTTTCCTGCTGGATCATATAGATCAGTGGTTTTCAAATTTATTAATATGAACCTCCACGACTAAGTATTTTTTATATCACCTAAAAGTATACAAACATAAACCTAGATATCAACTTTTACTGCTTACAGCCTTTACAGTGCAACTATAAAAAAATTTATCCAGCACAAAATCATATTACTGTACCAAAATATTCAAGTTAACAATATCAGGTTTTCATTATAGATGGTATTTTACTGCTTTCAATGTGAATATGCCTCTACTGCCTTGCTCATGTTTTTGGAGTTCATTTTGCCTACTATGAGCTGTGTGAAGACTTTATTCTTCCCCTCCTTTTCTCTTATTGAACTAATGCAAATATGATATTTCACAATGTCCTCTGGCCTGCACTTAGCATGATCACAATATAACACATTACTGTTTTTTTTCACAATCACTAGTATATTATTATATTACCCTGTCACAGTATATTGTATTTCTATCAAACATCTCAACTTAGTAAATAAGAAATTAAGTCTTATTCTATGAAAAATGTCTTTCAACTGTCCACTGATCACTGCAAAAAAGGTTTTGCTTTATATCTACTGGTATACTAGTAAAGGTTGGATAACTTGTTTATTCTGACTTAAACAATTTTTTTTTAGTTTTTAATTTTATGTATTAGTACAGGTAAGGGCTCACTATGTTGCTTAGGCTAGTCTTGAACTCCTGGGCTCAAGCAATGCTCCCCCCTCAGCCTCCTGAGCTGCTGGATCGCAAGTGTGAGCCACCACACCTGGCTAATTGTGACATTTAGACAAGCCAATCTATAATCAGATCTCTTGACAATACATAAAAATGAATTGTGCAGTACCAAGGTGGTTATAAAAACTGCTACAAAGGTGGCAATGAAATCTCATGCTAATAGAAGGTTACAGTATAGTCATGAAGATTATGCAGAAATATGTGTATGCTAATTTCTAAAATGATCATTAGAATAAAGACACATAGATGTCTTTATAGAGAAAACTCATAGATCCCCAAGAATATATACATATTTAGGCTTGGTATGAGAAGAACTGATCCTATGTCACAGAAATGAAACTCTTAAAAGTTTTAAAACAAAATGAAATGTTTGAATGAACAGGAGTTCATTTAATGCTGTTTTAATCCCCCCCCCCTTTTTTTTTTTTTTTTTGAGTCAGGGTCTCACTCTGTTACCCAGGCTGGAGTGCAATGGTATAGTCACAGCTCACTGCAACCTCGACATCCTGGGCACTAGTGATCCTCTCACCTCAGCCTCCCGAGTAACTGGGACCACAGGCACACAACACTATGCTTGGCTAATTTTTGCACTCTTGGTTAGAGATGGGGTTTCACCATGTTGTCCAGGCTGGTCTCCAACTCCTGAGCTCAAGCAATCCACCCGCCTCGGCCTCTCAAAGTATTGAGATTACAGGCATGAGCCACCAGGGCTAGCCTTTTTTTTTTTTTTTTTTTTGGCTAGAGGTTGGATCTTGTTATGTTGTCCAGGCTGGATTCAACTCTGGGCTGAAGCTCCCCACCCCCACCACCTCAGCTTCCAAAGTAACTGAAAATACAGGTGAGTGCCACTGTGCCTGGCCATATTTTAGTCTCTTTTGAAAAAAACTACAGATTTGTATCACTTACTTCAAAGCATGGCATTCTCCCAGAAAAATTAGCAGATGTATAGCCAAATGTGACATTTGCTATCAGCTTAAGTCCTAGTTGACGTGCATCAAGCATTCGCAACAGGGTTCTGTCTTGCTTGTAAGCCTTCATTGACTGCTTCACCATAAATCTAGTCTTCAAAATTTCTTCAAGCATTCTTGGTAGTACACCTTTTCTTACTGAAGGCTATCATAAAGAAAAAAAGAATGTTTAAAACCCCTCAAACATTATAGATTTAAATAAGAAGGAAGCATAAAATATAATAATGGCCAATTATCATGAATTGAAACATGCTAACAACAGAGTGACCACAGTATTAATGACCATCAATATAAAATCATAACATTTTATTTCTTGGAAGAGGATTTTTCTCCTAAATGGTTCCTGTAATGTTTATAAAACTAATAGAGCACTTCTATGTGAGTTCAGAGACCTCCAGGGAGGAGGATGTCAACTAGTGCATAAGTGACTATAAACAAGTTCAGAGGGAAATTTTGTTAAAAACTTGACAGAAACCCCCATTCTTTCAAAATGACACATGGGACTTGCATCACTCATAACCAACTGTTTTTAAAGATCTCATCCTAATGACCCCACACAGAAATCTGCATGGAACTCCATTTATCTACCTTGGAAGAATGATGAGCTGGGTTGACTCTGCTGACATTCAAACCTGCAGTTCCAGGGACTCTAGGTATTTCAAATCTGATGCTTAGACCACTAAGCCATCCCCTCCGGCCTATATTTATTAGCAATCTGGAAGAGGGGATGAATAGTGAGGTGATAAAATTTGTTGATGCCAAAAAAAAAAATCATTTGTATTAATCAAGACTAGGGAGAATTTATGAGAACTCCAGTAGGAATGAAAATCACAAAACAGTATTAACTTTGATGATGATTCACAGACACGTGCAAGGTAATGCATGTCGGACCTAACAATTAAAATCTCAGGTATAGGATAATCACACACCTGAATATTAAAAAGTCTTATTTTCATTAAGCTTAACATACTGGGTCCAAAAGTAGACGCAAGTTTTAAAAAATGCTGCTAAAAGGAGATAAGCTGCTACATATGTGACAATGAGAACATATTCTAACCTCTAATTCATTTGGTGTACATTTTGAAGCTGCCACAATATTGTAAGACATAAGATTAAAAGAACAGGGACCAAATTTGCAGAAATGTGATGTGAAAACTGATTTTTACATAGAGACCCTTTTAATTAAAAAAAGATCTATTTCCATGTCTCCAAGTAGATCTCATCTACATCAGTCCCTAGAAATACTACATTTAAAAATTTTCCAAAAAAGAAACATACCATGAACTCTTTGGTTAAAATTTTCTTCATCTAAATTGCTAATTTTAGTTTAGCATTCCCTCTTACTGGTAGAGAATGATGCCACTTTTGATAAGTACACCAGAATGAATTTGGGGGCTGGTGGGGTCCACTCTACCATCAACCACTCTACTGTCTCATGATTCTAGTACAGACTCACTGCTAAGAAAATAGAAAAGAAAGGAATAAAGTTGGCATATAAGAGGCAACATAATCTTCTTTTAGATCTCCCTTATTTGTCTTTAATTTATAAATTTTTCCTGTCTCTTTTAAAGGGAGATATAGGAGAGAAAAAAGAGACCCTATTTTTAGTTTGGATATCTTCTTAAAAATATAATAATGAACATATTAGAGTATTATTAATTCTAAGATAGTCTTAATTTAAGTTAAAATAATGTAGAAGAACAACTTGTAGTATCTACACATTAAAGTAATTCAAATCTTTGTAGGTAATGTATTTTGACCATTAAATTGCTATTTAAGTCTGCCTAATTCTAATACAGGGCAGAAGGTATGAGCATACATTTATTTCTTTCAATATTTCATTAACTAACATTTAACAATTTAAAGGTTTAAAACCTAAATCCAAGAAAAACAAGGGCACTGGTTTGTTTCTGAAGTGATTTCTCAGAAGATTCTTATATCTTTGACTTTTTGAGATAAAACAAGCAAACTTGGTGTTTTTGTTTTCTATTATGTGCCAACACTATCTAAACCATTATCAGCTCTCCAAACGTTAAGCCATAGTTGATATATTTCATTTACAAGAGAGTATTACCTTGACAAAAGCTACTCCATTGGGGGACACTGTGATATCATGCCTAACTTGGTAAAGTAAATCTGGAGGTACTCTCAGAGAGGTACAGCCAAATTTGAACTCATCATACCTGTTAAGAAAGAGAACATTAAGCAAATACTTCCTCAAATCATAGAACAGAGATTTTAGGCAATTTTAGGAATCTTTCTAACTCCATTAGAAATTCATTTTCAAACATCTAAACATGAATTCATGTACTTAATAATATGTTTATTTGCCTCATTACCAAAGTACCGTTTTTCAAATATTCACAATTTATTACAAGAAACGTTTCTTAAATGGCACTATCCTAAAGTTTACGGGTAAAATCTATACTGAAATGCCAAATTTCAACTCAACATATGATCAGCTTATACTAAATCACTTAAATAAAAGTTTATTTTTATTTAACATCCTTGTGAATAAATTTAAAGAATTTAAACCTTAGACTGTAAATCTTGTAAATTTTCCAAATTCTTGTTTTTAACAAAAAGACAAGATTACCAATAAAATTTCCAGATGCTTTCTATGAAGAAGTGAGTACGGTATATACTAAAACCAACACATAGTCTCAAATACAGAAAAATCAATAAAAAGGAAGAGTCTCTTATTTCCTACAATCTAAGAAAAGTATTTAATCCTTTCAGAATTTAAAATGTTATTCTTGGTTTCTAAACTTAATTTATATTAATTAATAAAACCTAACATTTTACTTAAAAAATCCTCGACAATTTCTAAGAAAAATAAAGAGGAGGTGATAGATGGAATTATAAGATCATAATCCTCAAACTGTTCCACTGAAAGGTAATTTATATCAATTTAACTTTCATTTTAAAAGAGACCATGGTTACACATGGAGTGAAACAGTTGCAAGGCTGATCTATTCCCAATCCTCTTCATATGAGTCATCCATCCATGAAACTGGATTAATCATATGGTGATCCATGTCAATTAGTAAGACAACTACAATACATGGATTAGCTGGGCTACAGCCCATTCATCTTGCTCATAAAGAAGGTGTCAAGAGCAAACAGACGCTCAAGAAGTGTTTAATTTTAGTAAGAAGTACACAAGCACAACATTACTGTAAATGTGAAAAAAACCTTACTTTCCCAAGTTCTCCACATGGCCAAGGCAGGTGGAAAAACAATAGTTATATGCAATCACAATAGAAGGATAAAGTGATTGGAAATCCAAAACGAGAACAGAGTTGCTATAGAAGCGGGATTCCGGCTCCATAATTAGAGGAACACACTGTGGGGCTCTCATTTGGGATCTTTGCTGAACACTAGGTGTCACAGGAATATAGTTCATTGGCTTTGCAATACGCAACATCATTGATTCCACACGGTACTGCAGGGAGAAAGGGAGGTGAAAAGAGAAGAAACACAGTTTAAATATATTTGTCATTTGAATATATGATAATTATTTGGGGATGATCTGTTTTTCAGAGTAAGACTGCATGACTTTTTTTTTTTTTTTTTTTTTTTTTTTTTTTTTTTTTTTTTTTTTTTTTTTTTTTTTTTTTTTTTTTTTTTTTTTTTTTTTNCAATACAAGCTTTTTTGTTTATTTTTTTTGAGATGGAGTTTCACTCTTGTTGCCCAAGCTGGAGTGCAATGGCACAGTCTCAGCTCACTGTAACCTCTACCTCCCAAGTTCAAGTGATTCTCCTGCCTCAGCCTCCTGAGTAGCTGGGATTACAGGTGCGTGCCACCACGCCCAGCTAATTTTTTGTATTTTAGTAGAAACAGGGTTTCACCATGTTAGCCAGGCTGGTCTCTAACTCCTGACCTCAGGCCTGCCTTGGCCTCCCAAAGTGTTGGGATTATAGGCGTGAGCCACCACATTAAAACCAGGGTGTTTTAATGTAGTATCCCTAATGCCCACCACAGTGCTTAACAAACTACAGGTACTGAAATACATATCTGTTGAATTAATACATAAAATCATTTTCAACAAGGTGTTTAGCAAAAAATCTTTCATTATATCCTTGGGAAATTATTTAGAAAGATATGAATTAAATGGTTTCTAAGGTTTCTTTTCTTATAACATTTTAAAAAGTTACATAGTCCACTTATATTGATTTTCAAACTTTTCATTTTTACATTAAAATTATGTATTGGAACTTTGAACAAGCCAAAATTAAAAATGTAAAACAAAAGAAAGGTAGACTTTTCTTTGTTGCTTCTCCAGTTTTAAGGGGGATCTTTAATCACAGTAACAATATTCAGGAATATAATATCCTTAAGAGCATGGACATTTATTTTCTTAATACCATGAAAAACTTGGCAGTGGCCAGAAAGTTGGCATAGAAAGAGAATAAAATGACAAGATTTAATTACCCAACTATTGATTAGTTGCTACCAAACAGAAAGTTTAAAAAGTCAAATCACTTCAAACATCTCAAAAGTATATCACTCATTTCAAGTGTGCAAGAAAACAGATTTCCCACCTGTGAACCTCTTGTCAGTACATGTAAAAACTGAATGCCAAAAAGTCTAGCCATCTCACTGGTTTTCCCAATCAGGTCCAGCTGTTCTAACATTTGGAGATTCCCACGGACACGGCTAACGTAATGATCAACCATTTTCCATCTGTTAAAAAAGAATCCACATTATGAACATCAGGGAAAAACTTGGACACTTGAAAACAGTACTTTTTTCCTGCCAAAAATCTACATGCTAAAAGTGAGGTTACTTAAGGAAAGGGTAATAATATGAGCCTTTAGCAAAGTATGTTAAGGAATTAAACATTAGAAAATTTCAGGTATTTCAAGGGCATGAAAGCCAGTAAGAATATGCAAAATTTAAAATAGTACTTGTGATTAGGTGGCAAGATTAAGGATCATTATTTTCCAATATTTTGCTTGATGTTGCCCTATTCTCATAGAAAATTAAAATTCCCTTTTAAGATGTCGCTGTTGATTATACAATAATTATTTATCATATCTATAGATTTTTAAAGAACATGAAGGATCTGGGTTATCATTGTAAATATAAGTCTAAAACAAAAGTACGCACTATCTTCTCATGACCAAAAACAAAGAATAATTTGATGAAGATTTAGAAAAATCAGAAACATAATTTTTAATGAGATAATACATGGGTTAAACATATATCAAGTAAGTATTTTTTGTGAAAATGTAAAAGTTGTTTTTCAGTTTAAACCTTAAAAAAAATTAACCTCTTTACCTTACCTTCCTAAGAAAACAATAAAACCCTCAGTAAATCCATAAAAAGAATTTTAATATTATAAAATGTAAAAATGATCCAAAGGTATACTATAAAGAATAAAATTTATTCATTTAAAGATTAACGTTCACATATACTGCAATCTTTAATGATAATGCTTTTAGAACAATATAGTCACACAATTGTTCAATAAATGTGTTTAAAAACCTTTTCCTCAGACATGTGACTAATGCAAATATTAATAGAAAACTAGAAAATGAATGTGAAGGAAGAAAAAAATACCCTATTATAAAAAAGATTATAACAGATACTGGTAAGAAAGTGGAGAAATTGGAAACTTCATATATTGCTGGTGGTAACATAAAATAGTGTAGTTGCTTGGGAAAATAATTTGGCAGTTCCTCAAATAGTTAAACATACAGTTACCATATTATCCACCAAAAATTCTACTCCTAGGTACATTTCCAAAAGGAATGAAAACAGATATTTACACAAAAAACTATATATGAGTGTTCATTACAGTATTAATCATAGTAGCAAAAACTGGAAACAACCAACATGTCTATCAACTGATGAAGAAATAAAATGTAGTATATATCCACACAATACTATTCAACATTAAAATACTGAAACATGCTATAACATGGACAAATCTGGAAAGCGCTACGCTAAAAGAAGCCAGTCACAAAGGATTACATATTGCATGATTCTGTTCATATGAAATGTCCAGAAGTGTCAAATCTATGGGGACAGAAAGTAGATCAGTGGTTGTCTAAGGCAAGAGGTAGAGGGTGGGACTCCAGTGGAGGGGGTGATAGGAATGATGAATGGTTGAAGAGTGGTGGCTATGGGATACAGGATGTCCATTTAGGGTAATGAAAATATTCTAAAACTTACTGTGATGATGTTGTACAACTCTGAATATACTAAAAGCCAGTGAATCATTTGCTTTAAATGGATGAATTGTGTGATATATAAATTATATCTGAATAAAGCCATTAAAACATTAGGCAAACATAAAAAAACCTAAACTCTATAAATATTCAGTTGTTTAACAAAAGAAACAAATTCTGTTTCATAATTTACATTTTTAACTTAACATGTTGACTCCCCATATTTATGTTTTGCAGCTATTGAGTATGCTATTGTATAATTATAACATATTTAATCAAAAGTTAATATCTTTTATTACTGTAAGCAATGCCGTGATGAACATTTTTAAAGCTAAGTTTTTGTACAGATGATTAAATAAGTCCTTAAGATAAATTCCTAGATTTGGTCAGTTTAATACCTAATAATCCACTTCTTTCCAGAAAGGTTTAAATAGTTTATAATCATACTAGTGATGATAAAGTGCTTGTTTCCTTGTATATTTGTCAAAACTCTTTATAGTTTTTAAAGTTATTGCTGGTTTGATAGACAAAAAAAGATCACATTTTAATCTGATTTTTTTGTTTTAGATCATTAATGTAACCCCTCAACAATACAAAATTGCAAAGAGTAAATCTGAAATATTTACTGGATGGTGTAGAAAAAGGAGATACATTTGCACTTTGCCCTATGAATATATGCAGAGAGCTGACCTGGAGAAACATTCTAATTAAGAAACCAAAAGAATGAGACACCAACAAAATTTCTGAAAAGACCAGGCAGCACACAAGCAGTTTGCTAAGCTTTGTAAAAGTAAAACATGAGAAAAATAAGTGTAAGTCTCAGCCAAACAGATTTAACAGAAAACTTTAAAAAGGTTATGTATTACACAAAACTTGTGTAAGAATCTGTCTTAACAGCTACTCATGCTGATTGGGCACAAATATTTCGTAGAAATCTGTAGGTGGTGATTCAGAAGAGTTACCAATTGAAGTATGATGATGATAATTTGTTTTAGAAAATGTGTTTTAAAACATACTGGTTTATTTTCATTGTTTACTCCAGCCTAAAGTCCTTTTTTTTTTAAATGAGGCATTGATCTTTCCAATAGGTTTTTGTAATTCATGGTACAATTAAGAAACATAATCAGCAGATTAAGAATTAACTACTTTAGTAAGGTACATTAAGGTAGACATTTATGTACTGTATATAAGGTAAACATTTGAATATTTTTTTCCTTTGAGAATTGTTCAAGTCTTTTATCCATATTTTTCTTACTAATTTAAAACTATAATATGTTTATATATATATATATATATAAAACTGTTGTGATAAAAATGGTTTTCCTAGGTTGATTTTAGGTTTTTAATTTTGTTGATGTTATTTAATGAGGTACAAAAGTTTGCTTCTGGGCAAAAATGGTGAAAGTAGGTCTAAATACTTTGTATACAAAATTGATTAAACTGAATCTTAAAGGCTCCTGATTTAAACTGATTTGACTAAGATCAACTCCATTTTTTGAGACAATGTAGTCTATTAGAACTTAAATAAATGGGTATATTAACTATATTTCAAAAGAAATATTTTTACTATATTATACATAACTTTTTTTTTTTTTTTAATTGGAAATGGTTTATTTCACATTTTGAAGAATACGGTCTAATAGATTTTCACATTTTGGTTGACAGCACAGACTTTGGAGTCAGAGAGTCCTAGGTTCAAATCATGGCTCTGTTGCAAGCTACTACGTGACACTAGGCAAATCATTTAACTCTCTAGCCCTCAGTTTCAGTATGTGTGAAACAGTCTTAATACTAGGCTGTTGTAAGGTATTAGGCAAAAACAAAAACTTAATAACCTTTGCTGCTATTACTATGATAATTATGGTAATTACTATTTCCCCATTTCATTCAGAATCTAATTCTCTATCCTGAAAAGAAAGATGTACCAATTAATTAACATTTATTGTGAGCCTTCTGTGTGCTAAAGATGCATACCATCTCATTTAATTCTTACTTCACTCCATGAGGTAAAATATATTAACATCTCTATATTACAGATAAGAAAACCGAGGATTACTGTGAGCCTAATCCATCCTAGGTTACAAACCTAGTACACCAGACCTGAGATTTTGGCCAAATAAATTATGACAGATTAAACAATAAAAACATGATCAAAAGGAAACAAGATTATACATTATGAGTAACTGTCTTATTAAATTTCTATTATCACAGCAAATCACTCATTTCCTCACTAGCAAAAATGGCAGACCCACTGCTTATTCACTTCACACTGAATGGATTCCTCTCCACTGACTGGTAACCAAGTAATATAAACAAATTAGATGCATCTTATCTTTCATAAAGAAAGGTTAATTTAACAAGGGACATTTTAGCTTGTACAATTTATCTAGCAGGTAACAACTGCTGTTTTCTGATCTAAATCTACTGACCTATAGGCATGAACATAAAAAAGGCTTTGAACGATTAATGTTTTAAACATTTATTTAAAAATAGAAATTCCATTTGACCCAGCAATCCCATTACTGGGTATATATCCAAAGGATTATAAATCATTCTATTATAAAGACACATGCACACATATGTTCACTGTGGCACTGTTTACAGCAAAGAACCAACCCAAATGCCCATTGATGATAGACTGCACAGGGAAAATGTGGCACATATACACCACGGACTACTATGCAGCCATAAAAAACTATGAGTTCATGTCCTTTGTAGGGACATGGATGAACCTGGAAACCACCATTCTCAGCAAACTGAAACAAGAACAGAAAATCAAACACTGCATATTCTCACTCACAGTGGGGTGCTGAACAATGAGAACACATGGACACAGGGAGGGGAGCATCACACACTGGGGTCTATTGGTGGGGACTAGGGGAGGGACAGTGGGGGATAGGGAGTTGGAGAGGGATAACACAGGGAGAAATGCCAGATATAGGTGATGAGGATGGAGGCAGCAAACCACATTACCATGTATGTACCCATGCAACAGTCCTG